GTAGTGCAGGCCACGGACAATGGTGAAAAAACGCTAATGGTGGCTAATAGCAAGTAGCTAGTTAGCTGGTTAGCTGGCTACTCCTGTCCGGTAGACAGAGAGGTAGATAGCCGGGATATGGGCCTGCCCGAGGCTAGCTCGAGGCTAACTGATGCTTGCTTCGGGGGCAGTGGTGATTAGCCTACAGCAACATCCATTCGACATCCATTCGGTTGCGGCTAGCTAGTTGCAATCCGGTGTTAAGGTTCAGTGATTCAGTTATTCCGGCAGAAAATCAGATGTTCTGGGTGAAAACCGCTAACGGTGGCTAATAGCAAGCAGCTAGTTAGCTAGTTAGCTGGCTGGCTAGTTTCAACTGGAGATTCTAGATAAAGGTGAATAAATAATAGAATCCGTTCTACATTGAGTGAGGCGGGTTGCAGGAAAGTATATTTAGTAGAAGGATGAAAAGTGTGATAGGGAAATATATACGTAAAATACAAAACAAATACAAAAAACAGGCTATTTACATGGACACACAAGAGAACACGACCGCACTGCTATGCTATCTTGGAATCAAGTCTATATTTCTCCCAAAAAAAATTCATTTGACACCAAATTTGCTCCTATGAACTTCACATTAGCGCTCATGGGGCATTTTTACATGGAATTGACCAGTACAGTCTATAGTGAAACAGAAAGGGTGACTCAGCAATAGTTGTGGAATGTTTGCCATCCCAGTCGGCCTAGCGGGAGCAGTCTTTTTTTGATAACTAAACCACTTTTTTCAACAGGTTGTGACTAAGACGGCCAACTATTTGCTTCTGTTGACAGCTCCGGGGGGAAGGAAATGGGCCATTATTTTTTCCATCCGGCGTCTCACCAGGACACCATCCAGTCCTTGAATGAATTCCCCAGATGTGTGGCGAGGGATAGGTTGTCTAATCCCCAACTTGGCCTTCCGTGTGGAAATTGATGTCATCCCCATCCAGCCACAACCGGGCACATCACAGGAGTTTGCCCGGGAACCAGACTGAAAAGCCATCATTAGGTTAGCCTGTGGAGGGGAAAAAGTTTCCTCCAAAGGCAGAATGGGTCCGTTCGTTAGCTCGGGAATGAGGCAGCAAACCAAGTAATCAACAGAGGGGAATTGTGGGTCATGTAAAACTATTGGCTGCTGCAGCTGGCAGCTTGGGTACTTATATACTCTATGGGTGAGACTGTTCTTCCGTAGGGTAGGTTGGTGGGGAGTCACTGCACGTGCGGGGCGTGTGTGTGTGCTACGCCTACGATGAACAAGTGGTCTGACATACAGTTCCGACCAATTATATGGGCACCCTTGTACCTTTTATTGAATAATTCCCCATTTCTTCTCAAATAAATTGAAAAATAAATAAATAAAGCTTTTGGTCACTGCTGTGTTATTGGATTATTAACATTGCAGAACCAATTTTATTTTGGTAAACTTAAGTTCACAATTTTAATTGAGAAAATAAAGACATGGCATGGACAAAATTATTGGCACCCTGGAGCAAGTACTTGGTAGCACAGCCTTTGGCCAAGATAACTGCAGACAAATGCTTCTTGTAGCCATCAATGAGCTTGCTGCACCTTTCTACTGGAAGTTTGGCCCACTTTTCTGCAGCAAACTGCTTTCATTCTTCAATTTGTCAGGTGCCCTCCAACTGCTGTTCTCAGCTCTTGCCATAGGTTATGGATGTGATTCAGATCTGGACTCTTGGCTGGTCACTCCAGAACAGTCCAGTGTTTCTTCTTGAACCATTCCTGGGTGGTTTTTGATGTGTGTTTGAGGTCGTTGTCCTGCTGGATGACCCACAGCCTTCAATGGAAACCCAGTTTTTGGACACTGGGTTGAACATTGGACTCCAAAACAGCTGATAATCTGCTGATTTGATGATGCCTTGCGCACGTTCAAGGCCCTCAGAACCAAAGGCAGCAAAGCAACCCCACAGCATTTTTAAACCTCCCCCATCTTTGAAGGTATGGTGTTCTTTTCATTGAATGCTTCATTTGGTCATTTACCCAGTTCATCAATATAGATTTACCATTCAAGTAAATGTTGACCATTATTTTGTTATGTAGTTAGATTGTTTTTACCAAAGTCAAATTGATTGTATAATTGATTCATTAATGCATACATGGCTGTCTCTGAAAAATGTTGACATAAAACAATTCAAATCTAAGGATATTGAACTCAAAAGATTTCCAACGATTGAAAAGAGCAGTAGCGGAGTTTCTCTCTGCATCAAGTGCCATTGTGACTTTGGCTAATATGCCTTTTCTTTTGCCGTGGTATCGTTTTGGTATCGCGTATTGTGATAGTAAACCTGGTATCGGTATCAAAGTCAAAATTCTGGTATCATGAGAACACAAACACACGACAGGTGGATTTTCTTGCGGTTCAATTGCTGTTTAAGTGAGGTAACGAAGGAACCATCAGTGGTGTAAAGTACTTCAATAAAAATACTTGAAAGTACTACTTAAGTCGTTGTTTGGGGTATCTGTACTTTACAATTTACATTTTTTGACAACTTTTACTTCACTACATTCCTAAAGTAAATTATGTACTTTTTACTCCATACATTTTCCCTGACACCCAAAAGTACTCGTTACATTTTCAATGCTTAGCAGGACAGGAAAATTGTCTAATTCACACACTTATCAAGAGAACATCCCTGGTCATCCCTACTGCCTCTGATCTGGTGGACTCACTAAACACATGCTTCGTTGATATCGGAGTGTTGGAGCGTGCCCCTGGCTATCAGTAAATAAAACAAAACAAGAAAATGGTGCCGTCTGGTTTCCTTAATATAAGGAATTTGAAATGATTCATACTTTTGATACTTAAGTATGTTTTAGCAATTACATTTACTTTTGATACTTAAGTATATTTAAAACCAAAATACTTTTACTCAAGTAGGATTTTACTGGGTGACTCACTTTTACTTGAGTCATTTTCTATTAAACGTATCTTTACTTTTACTCAAGTATGACAATTGGATACTTTTTCCACAACTGGGAATCATGTGTGATGTGTTGGTGCAAATACTCTTCATCAGTCCCAAAACTCTTCACTGTCACTTTTTGGAAGAAATCAATGGTGGGGTACTCAAAGTCACTGTTGGAAACATGCCATCAGACCATGTGGACCAGGTTTTGCCCATCCTCCTTCCACAGACATGTTCTGACATGCTTGAATCCACTTTTGGGGAGGGATAAAGTCAACAGCATGCCACCTGGTGGTTGACTGGTGGTGATTTAAAGAATCTGCCATCAAAATGTTCTCTATCACAGACATTGTTTGCAAGTCAAACACAAACTAGATTTGTAGTGCATCACTGACAAGTGGAAATAACTGATGTTTGCCTTACCTGTATTTTTACACAAGTAAGGCATGAGTTTTTACACAAGGCAGGGATGTAGCTCAGTTGGTAGAGCATGGCGTTTGCAACGCCAGGGTTGTGGGTTCGATTCCCACGGGGGGACAGTATAAAAAAAATAAAAAAAATGTATGCACTAACTGTAAGTTGCTCTGGATAAGAGCGTCTGCTAAATGACTAAAATGTAAATTGTAATGAGTGTGTGTGCAGAAGGCTTCAAGAAACCTGAAGCAGACCTGACCTAGAGGTCTGAACCTAACACCTGATCCTGAGCAGTATGAACCTGTGATATAGGTCAAGACAGTAGCTCTGGAGTACCTGCCACTCCAATCTGATGGGTAGCAAACCCGGGCAGCCTGCTCTGCCCATCTCCCAGCCACAGAGCCAGAATGGCTTGGTCCTGCTTGGCGTGATGGTAGGTGAAGCCATGAGCAGAAGCTTCTGCGGCACAGCGGCTCAAAGAGATGGGCACATGAAGCCAGACTGCCACCCGGCCCTCTGTCCTCCACTGAGCCAAAGAGTCTGAAAAACAAACAAAACATCATAGTCGGAGGGTGTCAATGACCATGTCTGACTAGATTCATCATTCAATGTCTGTGTAGATTTATCAAAGTCATATTTTAATTAGAATTAATCTGAATCTAATTGTCAGAAGTATTTGTATTAGTTTTTAACAAGTGCCACTGAGTCATTGATTGTGTCCCTACTGCTGGTACTGTGCATCATCACTTATTAACCAGGATATCAGTCTGCCCTCTTTAGCTTGTGTGCATGGCCCTCAAACTAGCTGGGCTATAAGGCAATATGCAACGTTTCATGCATTTTCAAGGTTCTTACATGTCATGCATTTTTGCTTATTTTCTGTCCAAGTGAAGAAGGTGCCTGCATTCAACACCAATTATGTATATCTATCTTTCTTTGGTCTACACTAACCTCGCAATAGATTACTAAATACTCCTTCGCTGATATCCGACGGGAAATCACTGTCACCGAGGTTCACTGTCACTCCGCCGAATCTGTCCACTTTCCCAGTCAAAACATGGGCATTTGTCCCATGCTCGTTCTGTAGTTGTAACCGGTTTGCTGAGCATGTGAATGCTCGAACAGCCGTCGTTGACCCTGTATGCGCGTATGCGCGGCGCGTTTGATTTGAAAGCGCGTTTCTTACAAGAGGTAATAGTTTGCGAGTAAGTGTTGCCATGTTACGAAAGCCTTGAAATATATTTAGATGAAAAACGCGTCCGTGAAATATGAATTTACTCGCTGGTTACATAAAAGTCAACACTGAAGTTGCATAAATACCGTAATACACTAGTACTTCGCATTATTTTTGGACATCTTTGCTACATGTTGTGTTTTTGTAAGTTGCTAACAACTAAAAGCATACCATACAAAGCTATATCATTTTCTAAATATATATTTTAATACATTGTCCGTTTTCGCGCAAAATTGTAAACAGAGTAGCAAAGCAGAATTTACTACGTCATTTAGCTATCCGCTTTACGGTAAAAGAGGAGGAACTGAACTTTAACCAGGAAGTGTATCAGCGGATTCACCCATGCTTGTGGTGAGACGTCTGTTTCACATGTAGCTACGCTATTGCAAAATTGAATTAAAGAAATGTCTTCAAAGAAAAACAAAAGCAAAGTTAGGAGAGTCATTGAAGGTGACAACTCAAGCGGACTGAGAGATGGCTCCAGTGACTCAACTAACTTGCAAAGCTCGGGGCACGAGGGGGGAGGCAGCAAGAATCTCTACAACTCATTCACAGTCATTGAATTCGTTGAGAAAGGTAGTTAGCTACTGTATCTTGTTAGCTAGTTTTGCTGCACTTATGATATTATCCTGATAACTGAATACAATGTAAATGTCATGTACCATAAAGATTTCATGATTTATACACGCCAATGAACATGAGCTCAAGCACTGCGCATGCACTTACCTGCTGTGCTGGATGCATGGTGTAGCTCAGGGCTCTCCAACCCTATTCCTGGAGAGCTAACGTCCTGGATGTTGTCGCTCCAACCCTAATCTAGCGCACCTGATTCTAATAATTAGCTGGTTTATAAACGGAAACAGGTTAGTTACAACTGGGTTTGAAACGAAAACCTACAGGAGAGTAGCACTCCAGGAACAGGGTCCTGGTGTAACTTGATATACATATACATACACATACCCATCATTTGGTCAAGTTGCATATGGGGTACACATAGCCCAATAATGGACTAAAGGAGCCTAACGTTAGTCCTTATAGTCCAAGGACCATACATGTTCTGTTTGAAGGCGAATTGGCTCTGGAAAGCAAATACTCCATCTAAATGAAAATCGTTTCTTAATTATGGGATGGTTCTAGAAACATAAATCCCTCTACTTTCATATCACATCAAAATAATTTAACAAATGGAAAATACACACTTCCTGTACACCACATGAGGTTGGTGGCACCTTAATTGGGGAGGATGGGCTCGTGGTGATGGCTGGAACGGAATTAGGGCAATGGTATCAAATACATCTCACACACATGGTTGCCATGTGTTTGATGCCATTCGATTTGCTCCGTTCCGGCCATTATTATGAGCCATCCTCCCCTCAGCAGCCTCCTGTGCAGGACACAGTTTTATCCGGTTTTAACACAGTTGCAGCCGACAGTATTGTTCAGTGACAACACGTTTGTGGTGTCCGTCTTCCGTTTACACACAGGTGTTAGGAGACGTAGATAGCTATATCATTAGCACATGTAGTCAACATTGTCTTCTGTCTGTGTTCCGTAAAACATGCGCTGTAACATGGAGATATGGCCGTGTGGGAACACAAACCGTATAAAGGTGTGCATCAATTGAACCTTTAGTTTTTCGAAAATTATTTATCGCTGATATGAAAGATAAGGTCCTTATGCTTCCAAACCGTACCGCAAGTGATGCGTGTTAATGTTCAGACTGAGCGCCAAGGCGCTTAACAAAACTCCCCCATACAAAAGACGCCTTCGTCCAATGACTTATGTGTAATGTGATGGAACTAAGAGTCATGATCACACAGCTTTTGCCATGCATGTCACCCCCATGTAAACATTTGGATACAGCAGATGATAAGCTTTCCAAAAGATGCAGAGCATTCCTTGTCCAGCTGAGCATAAATACAATGAAGTCTGCAAACATTTGCATTGGAAGACCAGTCCTATTGTCGAGCAATACTGGGCAACAGGAGGTATGTAAACAATGTGTTTATCAACAGAATGGAATATTGTATATGTGCATGTGCTTATTGACTATGAATTGAACTGTGGGGAGACAATATCAGCAGTTGACCCAGAAACAGTCGATCTTGATTAATATTAGACTGACACAAATGCTGTAGGATAATTTCCAGGCCAAGTTTCTATGCTGTTTTTGCTTTTTCCAGGTGTGTCTGGCCTGGCCGACAGCGTCTTTCCCTGGGGGTAAAGTTGGCCTACTGAAAAGTACTCAGAACAGCCTGAAAGTAAAGCCTGGGGATGGAGTGACTGTTCATCCCCTGACAGGACCTGTGCTACAGGCAGAAGAGGTGCTTCTCTCCACCAGGTAAAGCAGTAGAGCTAAAGCTACTTGTGAAGCCATACACCATAAATACTTCATGTGAAACACATAGACACTCAACCATGCAAATTGTCTGGGTTATTATTTATTTGGACATCACACATTCTAGTCTTACTCTTACCCAGACATCACACACTCTCACTAAATCACATCCAATATCACACACATCAACCTACTCCGATTTACTACACACATAATATCTTGAGTCAATTTTCGAACATCTGTGGCATTGTCTCACAGGCAAACAGGCAAGGGAATAAAACAAATATTGCTAGAACCTGTTTCTTGAATTCTAAATATCAGACTTTTGAAATCTCTAATTTTGACCGTCATAATACCTCTTATGGCAGTAACTTTACAAGCACTAATTATGGCCAATTTAGACTGAGAATAGTATCTAGTTATAGTAAGGGGTGAAATAAGTATAGCCAGTTATAATTGTAACGGTTTAGCAGATGATTAAAAAAAAAAAAGATCAGTCTTTACGTGGCTAAAAGACAGGAAACTCACTCTACATCCTAAGATGAAGTTGCATGGAAAAGGGAATGGGGTGGTGAAATAATTTTCTGTCATGGACAAAGGAACTCAAAAGGTGTGATGATATTAATAAATAAAAAAATCGATCTGAATGTGCAAATAGTCAGGAATGATTCGCAAGGAAAGTAGATCTTTTTGAATATGAAAGTGGATGAAAAACAGATTTGGCTCATAAATCTATATGGTCCAAATCAGGATGATCCATACTTGTTCTAAAATATTTATACACATTTATTGAACTTAAAGGCAAAAACTATCAAATCATTATGTTGGGAGACTATAACACAGTGTTAAGTACATCAATGGACCGTAAAGGAAATCACTACAAACTATCATCACTGTGCCCTTAATGAAATCACAAATATTATGGACACATTAGAAATAGTGGATATTTGGAGACTAAAAACCCCCGACCTAGTGAGATATACATGGACGAGACTTAAATCAAGCTAGTCGTCTTGACTACTTTCTTGTCTCTTTCTCTCTTTTGTCAAAGGTTAAAAAAGTATTAATAGGAGACAGAATGCGATCGGATCATCATCTAATCCACGTGGACGGGGATATTGGAAATTTCAATAGAAAACTAGTAAAAATAGACAAGATCCTGCAACCATGGAGAGGTAAATACCTATCTATTAATGGATAAATTGCCCTGATTAACTCCTTTGTCATATCTCAGTTTACTCACTTACTTGTGGCTCTGCCTACTGCTGATGATTAATTTTTCAAATCATATGAGCAATTGTTTTTTAGCTTTATCTGGGATGCTAAACCAGACAAGATGGAGTGTGCCTATCTATATAATGAATATGAACTAGGTGGGTTGAGATTATTAAATATAAAAGCACTAAACCTCTCTCTAAAAGCTTCAGTTATCCAAAAGTTTTACTTGAACCCTAAATGGTTTTCAAGTAGATTACTAAGAAAAGATCATCCATTGTTTAAAAATGCCCTTTTTGCCCTTGTGCAGATTGCCATGTCTCATTTTCGATTAATTGGAAATGAAACTTTTTTCAAAGCATCTCTCTTTTTCAAACAAGCATTTCAATTTCATCCCCCTGAAAAGATAGATCAAATATTACAACAAATATTATGGCTGAACTCAAATTTGCTGGTTGATAAAAAACCTGTATTTATGGGAAATATGTTTGAAAAGGGTATTTTGTTTTTAAATGATATTGTAAATTGGAATGTATTTCATGGAGTTATCAGAATTGTATGGGAAGGTCAACTCATTCCAAGATTACAACCAATTGATTACAGCATTACCCCAAAAATGGAGGAGGCAGGTGGCAGCAGGAGGAGGTAGGGAACTGGTCTGTCTGCCCAATATAAAGGATCAAAACTGGCGGAGGAACAAAAATAGCATAAATGGGAAAGTATACCAGTTTCATTTGAGGACCAGGATGTTGACAGCTGTGCCATACAGATTGCAAAATAGTTGGGAAGAGATTTTTGATGTACCGATTCCATGGTACAGGGTGTACGAGTTGATATATAAAACGACGCAAGATTCAAGACTTCGTGCTTTTCAGCTAAAATTATTGTGCAGAATTCTTGCCACCAACAAAATGTTGAATATTTGGGGCATACAATCATCGCAACTCTGCAGATATTGTTGTGAGGATACAGAATCAATAGACCATTTGTTTTGGTATTGCCCTCAGGTAGCCTGTTTCTGGTCTCAGGTTCAGGAATGGCTGAAAATGCATAACATTGATCTAAAATTGACCCTAGAAATAATTTTGTATTGTTGGGAGATCTGGAGAGACCGGGTCAGTCAATTACTAATATACAAATACTCTTAGTAAAAGTATTTATCTTCAACTCACAATCTGTGGATTTTATTTGATTAGATAGATTCAAATTGTATGTTAAACATCACAGCATAGTTGAAAGATATATGGTGCGTAGAGATCTGAAGAGGGTGGCCAGTAGAGATAGGTGGGATGGGCTGAGGGTTGGGATGTGGAATTGGAGACAAGTGGGAGTAGAGTTGCTGGGCGGGGGATAGAATGACGGTCAAAGATAAAAGTCAAAAATAAAGTCAAAATAAAACAGAACAAAAAGTACATTTGAATGACACTGAGGGGCAGTGTTGTTACAGCTAATGCCTGTTTGCCTGAGGCTGATGTCATGCAGGTGTTAGTACACATGCATATACACACACTCTCATTCAAACGCACACACGTGCACATACACGGACACACACACACATATACACGTACAGTGCTATGAAAAAGTATTTGCCCCCTTTCAAATTTTCTCAACTTTTGCATATTTGTGATACTGAATGTTATCAGATCTTCAACCAAAACCTAATATTAGATAAAGGGAACATAAGTGAACAAATAACACAACAATTACATATTTATTTCATTTATTTCATAAACAAAGATATGCAACACCCAATTCCCCTCTGTGAAAAAGTAATTGCCCCCTTACACTCAATAACTGGTTGTGCCACCTTTAGCTGCAATGACTCCAACCAAATGCTTCCTGTAGTTGTTGATCAGTCTCTCACGTTGCTGTGGAGGAATTTTGGCCCACTCTTCCATGCAGAACTGCTTTAACTCAGTGACGTGTGGGTTTTCAAGCATGAACTGCTCGTTTCAAGTCCTGCCACAACATCTCAATTGGGATTAGGTCTGGACTTTAACTAGGCCATTCCAAAACTTCCAATTTGTTGCTTTTTAGCAATTTTCATGTAGACTTGATTGTGTGTTTTGGATCATTGTCTTGCTGCATGACCCAGCTGCGCTTCAGCTTCAGCTCACAGACGGATGGTCTGACATTCTCCTGTAGAATTCTCTGATACAGAGCAGAATTCATGGTTCCTTCTATTAAGGCAAGTCGTCCAGGTCCTGAGGCAGCAAAGCATCCCCAAACCATCACACCACCACCACCAAGCTTGACCTTTGGTGTGATGTTCTTACTGTGGAATGCAGTGTTTGGTTTTCGTCAGGCATTACTGGAACCATGTCGTCCAAAAAGACGAGCTAAAAAAAAAACAAAAAAACTTTTGAATCATCTGTCCATAGAACGTTCTTCCAAGAGTCTTGATGATCATCCAGGTGCTTTTTGGCGAACTTGAGTCAACTTTTTGGATGAGATGGGTCCCATTATGCCTGGCAAAAACTAAACACTGCATTCCACAGTAAGAACATCATACCAAAGGTCAAGCATGGTGGTGGTGGTGTGATGGTTTGGGGATGCTTTGCTGCCTCAGGACCTGGACGACTTGCCTTAATAGAAGGAACCATGAATTGTGCTCTGTATCAGAGAATTCTACAGGAGAATGTCAGACCATCCGTCTGTGAGCTGAAGCTGAAGCGCAGCTGGGTCATGCAGCAAGACAATAATCCAAAACACACAATCAAGTCTACATGAAAATAGCTAAAAAGCAACAAATTGGAAGTTTTGGAATGGCCTTGTCAAAGTCCAGACCTAATCCCAATTGAGATATTGTGGCAGGACTTGAAACAAGCAGTTCATGCTTGAAAACCCACACGTCACTGAGTTAAAGCAGTTCTGCATGGAAGAGTGGGCCAAAATTCCTCCACAGCGACATGAGAGACTGATCAACAACTACAGGAATCATTTGGTTGGAGTCATTGCAGCTAAAGGTGGCACAACCAGTTATTGAGTGTAAGGGGGCAATTACTTTTTCACACAGGGGAATTGGGTGTTGCATAACTTTGTTTATGAAATAAATATTTAATTGTTGTGTTATTTGTTCACTTATGTTCCCTTTATCTAATATTAGGTTTTGGTTGAAGATCTGATAACATTCAGTATCACAAATATGCAAAAGTAGAGAAAATTACAAAGGGGGCAAATACTTTTTCATAGCACTGTAAATAGTGCCATACATGCACTCAAACATATTCAGTTGGCCTTGCTGTTCTGATTGTTGTTTTCTTTGATGTCCTTTGGTTTTGTATTGTTGTTTTCTGTTTTCTGTTTTCCTTTGTCTTTATCTTTTTTATCTTTTGTTATTTTAGTTGGTGCATTGGGGGATGGGGGGTTGGAGGTGTGGGCTTGGGGGGGAACGGGGGGTTGGGGGGGGACGGGGGGTTGTGTCTTGTGGGTGGGGAATGTCATTATTTAATTTTTTCTCGGGGAGGGGGGGGGGGTCTTGGATGGTTGAGGGGCAGCTCTTGGGGAACTGTGGGGGGGGATCTTGGAGGGCTGGTGGCCTGGTGGTTGGGAGCTTGGGCCGGTGGCTGATGGGTCGCTGGTTGGGGTCCCTGTTTTTGATCTTATGAGAGATCTGTCGACGTGCCCTTGAGCGGGGCGTTGACCCTGGTTGCTTCTGTGGGTTGCTCTGGATGGGAGTCTGTTAGATGACTAATGTGATGTAGATGTTGAGCGGCTTTACTGCAAGTAGATTGTATGTTTTAAATATTCAATATAAATATACAATACAAATATTTTTTAAAAGCCTGGGGATGGAGTTACTGTTCATCCCCTGACAGGACCTGTGCTACAGGCAGAAGAGTTGCTTCTCTCCACCAGGTAAAGCAGTAGAGCTAAAGCTACTTGTGAAGCCATACGCCATAAATATGAAGTACAATGATGTATTCATCTTTCGTATTCCCCTTGGGTCTTTAGAAGTGTTGCTACATTGGGAGGAAGGATATCTTTACTACAGGAGATAGATGTCTGAATCCCACTTACAAAATACCCACTTACACCCATGGCAGTACAAAGTAGAACAGTTGCCTTGCTGTCAGGCGATGAAGTTTGATATTATAGGTTAATGTTGCCATCTGCTGTTGAGGCACCTACAGTCAATTCAGTGATGACTCAGAAATTCCTTCCCAGTTATGTTAATTGCATGATGAATATTACATTCTGTCTTTTGCTTTTCATTTATCAATGCAGACTAAAGGATGATGCGCTCAATTCGGAGGAATTCAGTAACTTCTTCCTCCGATCTTTGGGTAAGCCAGTTTATTTTTCATGGGGCTATATAGCAGGGGATATGTAACTTTTCGATGTAACACTTTGCATTGCATTACCTTCATAGTAAGTGTCCATATATTTATATTTCAGATGGAAAGATTCCACTCCCTGGAAACTCCCTATCCCTGACGTACTTTGGGCGAGCGTGTAGTCTGCGGGTGGAGCGGGTGACGGGGGTGGACGGCCTCTCCCTGGAGAGACCCCCGCCTACCCCGGGACTGGAGCCTGACACGGAGGACGCCTCTCTGATGAGCTCCGCGCTGCACTTTACCTCCGCCCTGGCCTCCACCTCCATGGACCTGTCCCTGCATCTCAGCCTCCTGACCATGGAGGAGCAAGCTGAGGAACCGGGGGAGCATGGTCCTGCAGCCAGTACCCCCTGCAGGCCCTTTTGTGTGCCCTGTGTCCCCCAAACTCCCCCCTGTAACCCCCAGACTCCCACTGAGCCCGAGGAGGGCAGCCTCAGTCTGGAGATGGAGGATAGGAGTGGCCCTCAGCCCAGAGCAGACCAACACAGACATACAGTTCACCACTCCCCCTGGTGGAGCTCTGAGCACTGACACCTTCTACTGCCTCTCCTTTTCCACTAAGGTGAAGTTCAGAGACAGACACAAAGAGGCACAAGAGAAGCAGATGGAGGATAAGGCTGCCCAGAGGTCAAAGGTCACATATAGTATGATAGGGGGCCTTAGCAGCCAGTTGAACGTCATCCGAGAGACCATTGAACTGCCTCTCAAACACCCAGAGCTCTTCTCTAACTACGGTACACAAAGAAATGTTTTTCCTTTCAAATTGGCACTCTGGGCCGAGTAGAATTGGAAAATTATTAATTGAAAACAATATGCTATATCTCAAATTCATGAAAACTCAACTCTGATTGTATGCATTTTTGTGCTTTTGATGACACAGGAATCACACCTCCTAGGGGAGTTCTCCTTTATGGCCCTCCAGGAACAGGAAAGACTATGATTGGACGAGCCATAGCCAATGAGGTCGGGGCACACATGACTGTAATCAATGGTCCAGAAATCATGAGCAAGTATGGTCATATTATTCCTACCTAATGAAATGTGGTTGGGGACCTAGTATAAGTTAAAGATTATATATTGAGGGTCATTGATGCTCATACATCCATACCAAGTGACCTTTGTTTATTTTATGTTCAACATGTCTTTACAGGTTTTATGGCGAAACAGAGGCCAGACTGAGACAGATATTTACAGAAGCCTCTCAAAGGTAAATATCGAAAACAAGTGTCCCATATTTGTGCCCTTTTTGTATGTTTTTTGCTAAATCCTATCACCAATATACGTCACTACACAAAAAGTAGAGCATTCTAAGAAGTGTTCAACAACTAAGGCTTTGCCTTGTTTTCACAGGCAACCTGCAATCATTTTCATCGATGAATTGGATGCGCTGTGTCCCAAACGAGAGGGGGCTCAGAACGAGGTGGAGAAACGCGTTGTGGCCTCCCTCCTCACTCTCATGGATGGGATTGGTTCAGTGAGTACAATTACCAGAGTATACACACGATCTCTACAGTGATACTTTTATTTTATAAACACATCGACCTTGGAAGTGCAGACTGACATCCAAAATATCCCGCTCTTTCCTGAGTGTCTGCTGAATCTTGAGTGTTCTGTCAGGCGAATCAGGCTAATGAGAAAAAGAGAGCTCAGGCCCACGATCAGAGATGGCTCGACAGCCGCCCTCCGCCCCCCTTAGAGAACACAGGGAGCCTGGGAAACCCATCACCGCCGGTCGCCATGACGTGCCAAATTAGCATCACGTTATCGCCAAGTACATCTTCATCTCCCCAGCCCAGCTCCCTGGTGCAGATGGTGTACTGAAGCAGCTGCTCTCCCTCATGCTATCTGTTTTCCAGACCGATGTTAAGGCTTGCTGTATAATCCAACCGCCATGGGCCTGCTGCTGTGGAATGTGGTGAAAGCACTTCCTGCACCCACACGGAATTCCTCTCTCCCCGCTCTCACTGTAATTGATTTGTGTTTTGGCCCCTCTGATTGCCCTGTGGTATTGGAGGGTATTGAAGGTGGAAATAGCATAACTTCTCCTCTCTCAGGACCACCCTCGGAAAACACAGCAGCGTGTAAACTAGCCAGGAAACTCTGTTAAAGTATGAATGTTGTATTGCCAGATAATGCCTGATGGTTTCAGAAGATGTAAACTAGTAAGTTATTAAGCCTTAGACACATTTACAGTCTGAAAATGTTGTTTATGTTTGGTGACCTTTTAGTGTCGGGGTCATCGGTTAGGAACTCCCCTACTGTTCCAATCCCTCTCCTACATTCAAACGCCTTGTTTATTGATGCTCATACCACTGTAACGTTCCTAACTGTCCCTGTCCTGGTTTGTCCCTTCCTCCAGGAGGGCCACTCAGGCCAACTTCTGGTCCTAGGGGCCACCAACCGGCCCCACGCCCTGGACCCCGCCCTCCGCCGGCCCGGACGTTTCGACAAGGAACTGGAGGTGAGCAGTTCAGCTTAGCCAAGTGAAGATGTTATGCAGGGGTTAAAGTTCTCAGTCACTGCGACGGATTTCTGTCATATGGATTCTGGTGAGGTCGTTTTTGAGATCATTGTAGCTCCGCTGAGCCGCTTCTATGTGAGTGTAATAGTCCTCTCGAGGCGCATTCAAGTTGGGAGAGCCATGGGAGGGAAACGTATTCTGACAAGCAGTCAATGCACAACATTTACATTTTACATTTTAGTCATTTAGCAGACGCTCTTATCCAGAGCGACTTACAGTTAGTGAATCATTTTTTTTTATACTGGCCCCCCGTGGGAATCGAACCCACAACCCTGGCGTTGCAAACGCCATGCTCTATCAACTGAGCTACATCCCTGCCGGCCATTCCCTCCCCTACCCTGGACGACGCTGGGCCAATTGTGCGCCGCCCATGAGTCTCCCGGTCGCGGCCGGCTGCGACAGAGTCAACAATTCTTAATGCAATCGCGGGTAAAACACTTTTGAAAGCAGTTTTGGCAAATTTATTTTGAAAGTAGTTTTGGCCTCTGTTAAAAAAGAGGGTGATCCCAGTTTTCCATTGCTACCATGTTTATTTCTCTACTCCTTCAACTGCGCACGTGGCATCGTTTTACGAATTCAGTTTTACAACCGGAGTTTCAAGCATGGTTTAGGTGCAGCTGCACAACAGCGCTCTTAAAGGGGCAATGGCGTCTTAAAAGGGCAGTGACATACTTTGTAATAGAAACAAAATATATATATATTTTATATATTTTTTAAATAATAAGTATTCATAATAATAACAATCAGGATGATGTGTCCAATGGGGTTAAATGCAGATGGACAAACCCCATGCTTCAGCCTATTTATTTAAAGCCACAGTGCTGCATCAGTTGGGCTACAGGTGATAATGCTTATTGCTAATAGCACATCTGATAATATAGACCATGCATAGGCCATATGCATGTTCCAATATTACATCATTTTTACCAGTATGCTATTGGGCCCATTTCTGGAGGTGGAAATTATATTTTAGATGGTGTCAACATCATTTTATTTTCATACATTTTGGAGTAGAATGTCCTTTTAAAAATTCTGAACTGAGCTTCTTCGTCCATCTACAAATTATCGGGGAGAACCCCGGACCCCCTAAGCATGGGGACTGGAATTGGTCAAACTCGCAGTTTAATACATGTACAAAATTATCCTCCTTCAATAATAGCATGATGGTCATGACTTTCTTACATGAAATGGGAGGTTAACTTGGCCCCTGAAAGCAGAATCAACCTCATCAGTAGTCTGACACCATTTAAGCATCTGTAGACAGAGAAACCCAACCTCAATTTTTTAAACTACGCATCTGGCTGTTAGTTGTTGTAATTGCTCTTGCTTAACAACACTTCCTTGTATTTCTATCAGGATTCGCTAGCTGATGCACTATAAACTCGCTAAACTAGTTTATGGTTACAGGTGGGTGTACCAAGCGCGGCGGAGCGAGCGGACATCCTACGGAAGCTGCTGACCTCTGTCCCCTGTAGGGTGACCCCCGACGAGGTAAACCAGCTAGCGGACGCCGCTCATGGATATGTTGGGGCAGACCTGGCCGCCGTCTGCAAGGAGGCAGGCAAGTAACGCTAGGCTAGGCTAACCGCAAGCAAGGGCTACGTGATGTTTCTGTATGCTTGGCCCAATCCAGGAACAACGCCTAGCCCGCTATAGCCAATGGGGGGCCTAAGGATTGAGGTGAGGGATTGGTATGATACAGTAACTTCTTCATTAAGCTAATGTCCACTAATATAGCTATCACCATTTAGCTGGTTATTCTATGAAAAATCCATGTTTCTCACCACTCCATATTGTAGCTTCTCTTTATCTGAGACCGAGTGGCTCACCACACCAACCCTCTGAGACTCTCCTGACCTAAGGATGTGGGCTTTTACTTTGGCTTGCGGATCCCATTGAGAAAACCCTTTTTAAAGTAAAACACTAACTTGTTGTGAAATTCCTCATGGCCCACATAGCCTTTAACCCTGCAACCCAATCCCCCTAACCGGTAAACAGTGTCAGGATAACAGGATGTTGGGGTGATTCTGTGGCCGTCGGTTAAGAGGCCCTGTTGTGTGTGTGACCCTCAGAGCCTCCTGGGTGGTCTTGGGTACGTGGCGTATTGCATTTCCAGTTGAGGAGGGCTGCTGCTTCGGCTCACGGAAGCGCTCTGGCGAAGAGCTTGATTTACTGTCCGCAGAGGCCAGACGTGACTGGCAGTGTTTTCAGAGAAAACCCCTGGAGGGAAGACCCCCCCCCCTCTCTCCGATGCTGAAACCCAAAGCACAAGACAAACACAGAACCTCAGGAAAAGTGCACCACAGGAAAAACGAACAGTCTTCAGAGAAGATTGGATCTCTCTACCCGACTGTATCTCGGCTCAGTTACATCAATGCTATGGATCCATACATAATGGTAGTTCACATACAGTATCGGTCACATAAACCCATTCCACATTTGCTCCACTGTCCACACTGTGTGTGTCTTTGTGTGCATATGTGTGTTTGCATGGTTGAGTTAAGGGACAGTCAACTCTAATAGACCCTGTCCCACACCACAATGTTGATGTGTGTTTTTTCCTCCATTGCTGCCGGCGACAACAACATACAGTCATGACTTCTCAAGGAACCCCAGTTGTTTCCCCCAATTCCCTGTCCTCTTCAGATAACAATAACCTGCAAGGGGGCACGTGCCTCGCTGCTTCTTCTCTTCCTGTAAATAGAGGGGCAGTGAGGGTGTCACTCACACAACCGGACCAACCTCACGACCAGCTGCTCACCCCCCCCGGCCTTTCCCCTCTCCCCACAGGACAGGGTCAGGGGCTTCTGACATCCTTCCCCCAGTCCCCAGCAGTACAATGGTGCCCTGCTTGCTGTAGAGTAGACCAGACCCGGCTGCAGAAGGCTATTTGTAGCTTCTCCAAGTCTCTTTCTTTTCTTTTTTTCTTTTCTTTCTTTCTTTTCTTTCTTTCTTTTCTTTCTTTCTTTCTTTCTTTCTTTCTTTCTTTCTTTCTTTCTTTCTTTCTTTCTTTCTGTCTGTCTGTCTGTCTGTCTGTCTGTCTGTCTGTCTGTCTGTCTGTCTGTCTGTCTGTCTGTCTGTCTGTCTGTCTGTCTGTCTGTCTGTCTGTCTGTCTGTCTGTCTGTCTGTCTGTCTGTCTGTCTGTCTGTCTGTCTGTCTTTCTTTCTTTCTTTCTTTCTTTCTTTCTTTCTTTCTTTCTTTCTTTCTTTCTTTCTTTCTTTCTTTCTTTCTTTCTTTCTTTCTTTCTTTCTTTCTTTCTTTCTTTCTTTCTTTCTTTCTTTCTTTCTTTCTTTCTTTCACCTGAGACGGGCACTCTGTAGACAAAGGGAAAGATGGCAAGGCCAAGATGGCTGTCTGCACACGTGTGTGCTTCTGTGTTAGGTTAGCATGAAAAGCAAGTGAGTTTTTTGTGTGTGCATCGAGTTCAATATGTTTTTGTCTACTTCTACATTTTTGGACTTACAAAATAATGAGTATTCTTTTTTTTTACTCTAGACCTTTAGTTCTAAACTTTGGAATTCATTCTTTGAAGGTAGTTCATTTTAACCTTGCTGACCAAAGAGAGCTGGTCAGACAGTGACCAAAGAGAGATGGTGCTGACAGACACGGATGCCCTGGTTTTAGCTCCTAGCCAACTTTGCAGTATTTTTTTCCCCCCAGTGTTATTTCTTACATTATTTGCTCAGAACGTCTCTTGTATTATTATCTACAGCCGGAAATAACTTTGGCATATTAGATCGGTGGTCACTCACCAGAAATTCAAGCAGAAATTAGACTTCCCTGACCTGTATCCTTTGTTTGAACTTCCCAAGGCAGCTCTATTCATCCCGGGGGCAGCACCAAAATGCTGATCCTGGAGAAGAAGTAGGAGTGGGGCCCTAGTTAAACTCGGGCGGTGTGCATACCATCCATCGGTTCAGAGTATCTAACGCTCAGTCCCTGGACAATAAAGTAGACGAGCTCAGGGCGAGGATCTCCTTCCAGAGAGATATCAGGGACTAACATATTCTGTTTTACGGAATCATGGCTTTCTCCAGATATATTGTCCCAGTCCATTCAGCCAGCAGGGCTCTCCGTCCATCACGTGGACAGGAAGAAAGAACTCTACGGAAATAAGAAAGGCGGAGAGGTTTGTTTCATGATTAACAACTCATGGTGTGATTGTAGTTACATACAGGAACTCAAGTCCTTTTGTTCTCCCGATCTGGAATACCTCACCATCAAATGCAGACCGCATTACCTCCCCGAAATCTGAAGAAAATTATACCGAAATTCTATCAACACATCTCCTGTGCTACATGCGCAAGACGGACCCTGGTTCATTGCTACTCTCCCTTCCGGGATGGCTAAAAGGCACCCCCCTGCATCCATTCAACACCTCCACACCTATAGGCAGAAACTTAAACAGGAAGGACTGTACAACGTTAGTCTGACCAATCAGAATCTATGCTTCAAGATTGTTTTGATCACGCAGACTGGGAAATGTTCTGGGTCACCCCTCACAATAGTATCGATGTATACGCTGACTCGTTGACTGGGTTCATCAGGAAGTGCATAGAGGATGTTGTTCCCACTGTGACGATTAGAACTGATTCAAACCAAAAAATGTGGATAGATGGCAGCATTCGCGCAAAACTGAAAGTACGAACCACCACATTTAACCACAGCAAAGTGACTGGGAACATGGACGTGTACAAACAGACCAGCTACAACCTTCATAAGGCAATCAGAGGCAAAACGACAGTACAGGGACAAAGTGTTCAATGGCTCAGACACGAGACGTACACTACCAGTCATCTGATGCAGCACTCCATCACTCTCCTTCTTGGTAAAATAGCCCTTACACAGCCTGGAGGTGTGTTGGTTCATTGTCCTGTTGAAAAACAAATGATAGTGCCACTAAGCCCAAACCAGATGGGATGGTGTATTGCTGCAGAATGCTGTCGTAGCCATGCTCGTTAAGTGTGTCTTGAATTCTAAATAAATCACAGACAGTGTCATCAGCAAAGCACCCCCACACCATAACACCTCCTCCTCCATGCTTAACGGTGGGAACTACACATGCGGAGATCATCTGTTCACCCACAACGTGTCTCACAAAGACACAGCGGTTGGAACCCAAAATATCAAATTTGGACTCCAGACCAAAGGTCAAATTTCCACCGGTCTAATGTCCATTGCTCGTGTTTCTTGGCCCAAGCAGGTCTCTTCTTATTATTGGTGTCCTTTAGTAGTGGTTTCTTTGCAGCAATTCGACCATGAAGGCCTGATTCACATAGTCTCCTCTGAACAGTTCATGTTGAGATGTGTCTGTGACTTGAACTCTGTAAAGCTTTTATTTGGGCTGCAATTTCTGAGGCTGGAAACTCTAATGAACTTATCCTCTGCAGCAGAGGTAACTCTGGGTTTTCCATTCCTGTGGCGGTCCTCATTACAGCCAGTTTCATCATAGCGCTTGATGGTTTCTGCGACTGCACTTGAAGAAACGTTCAAAGTTCTTGAAATGTTCCGTATTGACTGACCTTCATGTCTTAAAGTAATGATGGACTGTCGTTTCTCTTTGCTTATTTGAGCTGTTCTTGCCATAATATGGACTTGGTTTTTTACCAAATAGGGCTATCTTCTGTATACCCCCCCTACCTTGTCAAAATAAAACTGATTGGCTCAAACCCATTAAGAAGGAAAGAGATTCCACAAATTCACTTTTAAGAATGCACACCTGTTAATTGAAATGCATTCCAGGTGACTACCTCATGAAGCTGGTTGAGAAAATGCGAAGAGTGTGCAAAGCTGTCATCAAGGCAAAGGGTGGCTATATTAAGAATCTCAAATATAAATATATATTTTGATTTGTTTAACACTTTTTTTGGTTACTACATGATTCCATATTTGTTTTTCCATAGTTTTGACATCTTCACTATTATTCTTCAATCTAGAAACACAAGTATTTTGCTGCACTTGCGATAACATCTGCAAATCTGTGTACCCGACCAATAAACTTTGATTTGATTTAGTTTTTGGAATGGCGATTATTTTATTGCATAGGTATGAGTGGAAAAAATGGCAGGGAAAAATTAGGCGAGTATTGTTTGACATAAATCTTGCTGCAAAGACATGAATGAGATAAACAGTGGTAAATGCTAGATGTGTGTTTACAGAGGAAGCCTTCCATATAAAGCGCTTTTCCCGACTCCACAGTCCTTTTAAAGACACTTTCGGAATTTCAGGACAGGCTACATAAATATTGCCAGATCAGTATGTGACATTTATTTGGGGGCTTTGTTTATAAAATCCGGAAATGTTTGCCTTGTACCCTTTATCCTCGGTCCTTATTTTTATTAATGGCAGCTTGCTCGCTCGCTTGCTCTCTCCTTCCCTCCCTCCCGTTCCCTGTGTGTGTGTTTAAGAGCATATATTATTGCAGTCTTTCAGCGCTGGAACAGATGTTGGGTATTGTAAATACAGGTGCAAAGAGTGTTCCGGAAGCCCCTCAGAGTAATGAAAACGTTTATTTATTTATTTATGGTGTAGTGCCAAAAGTATTTCACAATTCATTTGAGGACAACTTCGTTCGAGACCCACACAGCTCTGCTGACAAGTGCCCGGGGATGGTGGGAGGTGGTGTGTTACGTAGACTACTTCTGGAGGGGTTTTTCCTGTCTAAAATACGTTTTGAACATGTTGTAGGAGTGCAGATGGACACTAACAGATGTAGTTACATAAATTACCTACCGCTGTTGTTGTTGTCATATCAAGACAATAGAGCTGTATAAGAAGCCCTTGAAGTCGGCAGGGGAAACCTTTTACTTTATCTCTACTAGAGTTACCTCAGTGTCCTCTGTCTGTCTTTGTAGCTAAGCTGAAAACGATGCTTTAACTGCCCAAATTCATCCAAGGTAGTCGTTTTTGAAGGTAGTTGTAGTAGAACGCACCGATGTCTTAGATATGTTGGTCTGAGGACTTGGCTCACATTCTCTTACAGGATCCTGTTTGTTTCTTTTTAATACTCAGGGCTAGGGTGAGATCGGGGCTGGTGGAGGTGACCCTTGAAAAAGGGCCCTGTTTTGGGGACAGATAATTGGGAACATATCTTCTTCTTACCAGCCCACAGTCCCCCGCTTTCACCTTGTCTCTTTTCCCCCAAGCCAGGGGCCCCCATTCTCAATTTCCCACAGATTGCTGGTAAATTTGAAGCATTCAGGAAAGAACAAGTGAAAAAAAGAGAATCCACATAAGGTTCAGATTAATCTTTGTTGTGTTGCTTCTTTTTCCTCTCCTAACAGTGCTTCGGATGTTTTCATAACTAAACCAAATGTGTGCTCGGATCGAGCCAAGCCTAGCCAGGGGATATAATCCCTGAAGCGGAAAGGCTGGAGTCACATTGTTGAATTACATTTCCTTTTGCCTTTGGGCTATCCAGATTCCAGGCTGAATACTACATTAATCTGCTTCATGAATGTACTTGCAAACTAAGCATTTGCTAGGGTTGTGTGGACATCCATCAGTTGCTCATACTGACAATGGGTAGTGAGTTGGTCTGACTTTCTTTAGGTTCATTTGTTCAGTAGGTTATTCCTCAGCCACTGTAGCATGTTGTATCCAGCGATTGGTTAGAGAAAGATCCTTAGCTGGACGAAATGTTTGTCAATCCAGGAAGACAGCATTTCTGGGCTTTTTAAGCTCTTCAGCCTTATGAGTGCAGAATTGTCTTTCTCATACGGTCTACAATTTTGGGTTAACGCACCACAGACAAACGTAGAGTTTTTTTTTACGATGCACTGGAATAGATCTGACAGTGAACAGTAAGGTAAGAGGATGCAAAGGCTTTCATGGTCACCCGACTGTCAAGTGGATTCCGTGGTCCAACCATATTGCTCACCATATGTCTGCTGCAGAGGGACAAGAGAGAGCCATGAGAAAACGAGTTTTGTTCAGTCAGGGAAATAAAAGTGCTGAAAACAAATTGGTGCCCTATTTAAAAAGAAGATGGAGAACAAGCTATGGGTTTGGTACAGGTACAGTCACCTAGCGCAAAAATAATGCTGCGATGTTGTCAAAACGATACGATATATCGTCAAAAATAATATCTATAATATTTTTTGTTGTTGCCCCCATCACTACAATAGACGTGGCTTGATGAACCAAGGCCTAACCTCCATTACCCTTTGACCATCCCTATATCCTTCTTAATGCGATGAGGAGGCTGAGCAGTGGAGAAGAGGAGGAGGAGTAAAGAGTCCCCCTGGTAGCACATGTGGTAGCCCCCATTCCTCCCTCTCCCTCTCCCCAGAAAAATGTGCTTGCCCCCCCTCCCTCCTTCCTATCCTGTGCATGGTCTCAGGCTCCAGGCTGAGGCAGATGTTTTTGTACTGCTAGTCGAAGAGCCCTGGAGCTTTGAATGGAGAAGAGAAGAGACTGCCATGTCATCGGGCAGGGCCAGGTCAGGCTGGATTGATGTGATGTGGGGGGACTCTGGGGAGAGGAGACGGGACGCAGCGAGACCAGAGCCCAGGACCTGGAACACACTGACCTTGGCCTGCTCCACTCACGGACGCTCTCTCTGCATTAATTGTGTTTTTCTTTTTTCCTCCGTCCCTTTATTCAGTCTCCTCGAATCCTGGAAAATATAAACAGGATGAAGTCTTGTATGATCGTAAATCCCCTCTTGTCTGCCCTGGGCCACAGCCCCAACCCCATTCCCTGGCCCCAGCTCGGAGGAGAGGTGGAAGCATCCAGTAATCATGCGCTCAGCCACCGTATCATTTGTTCATCAAATGCCTGTTATCCTACATGCATGGCTTGAATCTATACAACTGGTTATGAGTGGAGATACATCTCTGAGACTAGATAAACTAGTCGAGTGTAGGTTGTCATGCGGTAGGGTTCTTTTAAAAATGAGGCTGACTTACTCCTAGCAGCAGCTTTTCGTTTACATTTACGTCATTTAGCAGACATTCAGGATTTTCAAGTTCATATTTGTTTCTACTTTCTATTGCACAGAGTTCAACCAGCCTTATTCAGAATTTTCTTTGCCCTTGATCCTTGCACATAATTTCACTTATCTTTTATTGACTGGACACATTACATGTTTATCTAGTCTCAGAGATGTATCTATTTCCTTTTCTATGATGTAATTGACATAGACTGTTTAAGACAAATTACCCATGACAAATATCCCACAACCCACAGGAAGCACCCTTTCTCCTTTGTATTAAACACGCACTGTGAGGATTTTTGAAAATATTTTCCAGAAATCATCTTCAAGAAATGCTCATTTAGAATTCCAATGCCACAGTATTCCAGGAGACACACTCTTGGAAAACAAGGCTTTATCCTCGTTCGAATCCTTCCCTGTCGGTGATGCTGATGTAGGCCGTAGTTCCTATTCTCGCTCCCTTCCTCCTGTGTTACACCTTCTAGCGTTCTCCCTGTCTCGTCACCAGCGCCGATGTGGCCTATTCATGAGTTATCATCACCCCGGCCCCTTGGAATGCTGATTGTACAAGGGCCTATTTCTATCTCTGGCTCATTCTTTTGCGTCCCTACTCTGCAAGGTCCAACACGAACTCAACATCCAACCCCAATATTAATGCACAGATTAAAAGTTATTTGTACCGTAGTCCTTTTTTATACTCGGCAGGTAACGGAGTCTTCTCTAGTCACGAGAGAGTTAACCTCAAACATAAAGCGTCAATTACAGTTCATCTGCAGCTTTTCTTCTTGGCTATGCGTGTCCAATGTTCCCTGTTGAATTGAAAGGGAACTCGTTTTCATTTAGAGATTAGGCATTCATTAGGGATTCGTCATCACAACATGTAGGAGCCTGAGAGGTGAGGTGAAAGTTATACTGTGTGAAAGTAAGCGTGTGTTTGGAGTCGTGGAGCGGCTGCCAAGGACTTATGTGGGAAACTGTCCATGACTGTATGGCTTGTCGTTGGAAAAAAGGAGGAAAGGGAGGCTTAGCCTATTGTTGACATTTTGACAATGTCGTGTCTCTGAAGAAAGGTGGCATTGATGAACAACAAAGTATTGATTTTCCCCTCAGGCCATAACTATCATTATTTCAGAAAACATTACTTGTTTTGCAGCTAGGGCATCTTTCCTCCTAGTAACTGTACACATCATCACAACATCTTACACTTCCTGTGAGAATTTTGCATTTCCCAAGCATCTCTAATGTGACAATATGTTCTTTATCAGAATTATCTACCTCTTATTATACAACGGGTGGGTCTAATCCTGAAGGCTGATTGGTTAAAAGCGGATTCCATCCGGTGTCTATTCTACAAGTTAAAATGCCTATTTACGCTGTTCCATCTGACTGCACAACCACTGTCTCGTCAACCCAGCCAGGCAAATTAGGGGTCGGGACGTGTAGGGGTCGGGACGTGTAGGGGTCGGGAGTCAGGACGAGACGCAGGCAGGCAGCGTTTCTCGGCCAGTCGAAATCATGAATCAGCTGGCATAATTTTTATGGATATCTACAAAGAAATGTAAATAGAAAAAAGGTAAAACAAACGAAGTGCATCTAGTTTGCAGTCTTCACAGCTTCAGTGTTTGAAGTGATTGTGTTAGCTGTGTTGTTGGCTAGCTCCTCTGAACAACAGTGTCTTGACGAGAGAGCACATAGAATGAACGACCAGCCGGCTTGGGTAGCAACCCTAGATTTGTGTCGGGACTTGTGGAAGGATGAAATAGTATGAATAAATTAATCAAAATAACGTTTTTAATGAAAATATGTCAGTCATTATTTGAATATGTTGGTAACCTGTTGTATAAAAGTGATAATGACTAAAATGTAAATGTAATAATGCCCTCGAAGCTGGTGTTTGGAGGATATATTGGCACAGTTTGCCGGCCTTCGACTTAGTCTTGGGCCTAACAACACCCGTGCCAATATATCCTCCAAACACCGGTTTATCGGGCATTATAACTTAATTACCCACCATGCACTATTCTCCAAAATACCACCCTACAGGAAATTGTCAACTAAACCTAGACATTTTGGAAACCTGTACATTAACAAATAGGTTTATCAATCTGGTCTTTTTACAGGGCTGCATGCATTGAGGCGTGCTCTCGTCAGTGGCTCCCAGCCATCTGACTTCCAATTGATGGGGACAGTGACGGTCACTCTCCAGGACCTTCAGTGGGCCATGTCAGAGGTCAAACCAAGTGCCATGAGGGAGGTTGCCATCGATGTCCCAAAGGTATGTCTGGATTATAGCCCCTTGGTTTCCCTTTTTAGTTTAAAAACAGGACTCTTTTGAAGGTTGGCATATAAATTGCATATAAACGCTCATTAGATTTATCGGGTAGCACCAAAGATGGAACAACAATTCTGCTGATGTCACCGGCACAACGGAAAGTGTCTTCTTGTCTCATGTTCTGAAACGTCAACAAACTTCCTCAGGGATCGAAAGATATCTTCTCTCAGGAGTGCAAATCGCTTAATTACTCATTGGGCTACCAGTCAATGTATTATGTCAATAGGACAGTGAGTAATCAAGTGAGGCATTAAGTAATTTGTGCATTAGAGAAGATACTTTCAGATCCCCAATGACTTTTGTTGACGTGCGGTTTTCACAGAGGGTTCAAACCAAGGAAACGTCGGATGGAAATGACCCCCAGGCCATACTGCTGCCCTCCCTAAAACGGAGATGAATCACACACTCAGTGGAGGGGGAGGTGGGGGGACAGTTGTGAGACTCCAGGATGTTTTGGAGTTTGCATGTGCAAGACATAACGGACAGGAAGAGGCTAACATCATCTCCAGCGCTAATTGAAAACAGATCGGGTCGACATCGGTTCCTGCCAGAGAGCGAGAGAGAAAATAAAAAAAATAGAAAAAGGCCCTTCTCCTTCCTCCTAATGCTCCTCTGCACTGAGCTCACCCCGAGACGTTCAGTTCTTGCGGCCAGTTCCTGGAAACAAAAGAGGGGCTTGAGTTTTTTCCTTCCCTCAGTGCACTGCAGCTGAAGGGTCGGCCGTAGAGCTCCGACTTGATTATATCCACATGAGTGCAAAACATTTTGTTTCTAATCCATTTATATAAGAAACTTCCAGTGGAGCCAGACCGGGCAAGAGCAAAGCCGACTGGACCTTTTAATATTTTGATCTGGCAGCTGCAGCCAAGAGCTCCGTTCCCCTTTTTTCAACTTCCTCTCCTCTCTAAGTTCTTGTCTGGAGAAGTACCCACCACAACTACTGTCTTACCCACCCTCCTCCTCTCCCACATTTCAGGCAACCCCATCAAAGCCCGGGCCCTAAGAGGCCCCTTGTAAACTTCAGACAACAACAGTAAAAGATAATAACTGGGTCTCGGAGAGAGAGAAAGAGGCAGGGGGTGTAAAATCAACACAGCAAGGTGTGACTCAAACTGCCTGCGCCCTCTAATTCCACATCCGCCATGTTCGTGACAAAAGCTTCTTGCAATTAATGGTGTTTTTCTTTTACTATCATTAACGCCATCGCCATGTTCATTTTGTCTGCAGAAAACTTGAACAGAATAAAATAAAATAGGGGGAGGGGAGAAAAGGGGTATAAATCTTTACTGTGCACATCTGCTGCTAGCCTGGTAGGGTAGAGGCACCTGAAGCTGCCTGATTGATTTACACCCCATAGACTCTGGCAAGGGGAGGCTGTGCTTCTCTCTTTCTCTCACTTCTTGTCTCTTTTGCTCTCTCCTCCCTTGCTCTCTCCTCACATGCACTCTCCTCCCATGCTCTCTCCTCCCATGCACTCTCCTCCCATGCTCTCTCCTCCCATGCACTCTCCTCCCATGCACTCTCCTCCCATGCACTCTCCTCCCATGCACTCTCCTCCCATGCTCTCTCCTCCCATGCTCTCTCCTCCCATGCTCTCTCCTCCCATGCTCTCTCCTCCCATGCTCTCTCCTCCCATGCACTCTCCTCCCATGCTCTCTCCCATGCTCTCTCCTCCCATGCATCCTCCTCCCTCCCTAGCTCTACTCCTCCCATGCTCTCTCCTCCCATGCCTCTCCTCAGCCTCCTCACTGCTCTCTCCTCCCATGCTCTCACTCCTCCCATGCACTCCCTCCCATGCCTCCTCCCTCTCCTCCCATGCCTCTCCTCCCATGCACTCTCCTCCCATGCTCTACTCCTCCCATGCCTCTCTCTCCTCCCATGCTCTCTCCTCCATCCTCCCTCCCTCCCTCTCTCCTCCCATGCCTCTCCTCCTGCCCTCCTCCATGCTCTCTCCTCCCTCCCACTCCTTCTCTCCTCACATGCACCTCCTCCCATGCCTCTCCTCCCATGCTCTCTCTCTCCTCCCATGCTCTCTCTCCATGCCTCCTCCCAGCTCCCTCCCATGCTCTCTCCTCCCATGCTCTCTTCTCCCATGCTCCCTTCCCATCTCCCTCTCACCATCTTTATTGCTCTCTCTCTCATTCTTTCTCTCTCCTCACCCACCATCTCCTCTTCCCCCTCTCCCTCCTCTCTCTCTCCATAAATTGTTCAACGTGTGGTATTTACAGTATGTGGCCGGACGCCAAGTTTCCATTAGGTGCTCCGTTCCTGGGAGACGGCGCCAGTGGCCTGGGATGTGTTACTTTGGACAGAGAAAGGAGGAGGGAGGGCGAGGAGAGGATAAGTGAGGTGGAGATGGAAGGAGAGAGATGGGGAGAAAGAGAAGGAGAGCGAGAGAGGAAAAGTCACGCTGATGTAGTGAAAGGTGAAGGGAATGGGGGCTTATTGCTCTGGCCAACCCCTGCTCTCCTTATCTGTTTTATCTCCTGGAGTCGCGTGCCTCTGCCCATCATCTGTCAAAGCGACAGCTGTTGTCCGACTCTCTCTGTTGTCTGCTGATTCACCCTCCGCCCAGATCTGGCCCAATGCTTTTTCCTGTCGCATACTTGTGTTGTCGTGAATCTCAACTTTTTCTTGTACTGTACTATTCCAAATAATTTGCCCAGAGCAAAAATACAAACAGTATTTCAGTGATTGATTGATTAATTACAGCTGTAGAGAGAAATAAACACTGGACACTGAACCCACAACTTACTTGCCCCACAGTAAGGATATTACTTTTGACTTGGAAAACTTTTTATCCTGGAAAACCTGGGTTTTCTTGAAGCTACAATAACACCGCTAGATACCACGCTCCATTAATACTGCCATCCTATACAGCCTATTGGGGATGTCTCTCTTTCCATTGTCTATAAAACGTATTTATCTAGGAGCCCGTATACTTCTCCCAGTTCCCAGCTGTGTCCGAATGGTTTCTCTGTCTCCCTTACAGACTGTTTCCTTTGCAGACTGTTTCCCTTGAAGACTGTTTCCATTGCTGACTGTTTCACTTGCAGGTTCGATGGTCGGACGTGGGAGGCATGGAGCAGGTGAAGCTGAAACTGAAACAGGCGGTGGAGTGGCCCCTCAGGCACCCTGAGGCCTTCACCCGCATGGGCATCCAGCCCCCTAAAGGGGTGCTCCTCTACGGACCCCCAGGTTGCTCCAAGACCATGATCGCCAAGGCTCTGGCCAATGAGAGCGGACTCAATTTTCTCGCCATCAAGGTGATGATCATTCAAAGTTTGATTGTTGCCTGCATTCTCCCCCAAATGGTCAATGTATTGGCAGGGAGGTGTCCTTTTTAGTGCTTTTTACACCTACAAGTTTCCCTAAATCCCACCCCTGCAATGCATACTTTTGTAATGCATCAGTTTTGCAGTTGCATCGCCTTTAAGCACAGTGCCTTTAGTTATGGCTGACCTAGCATGGACCTTTTGTCGTTTCCGCAACTTGAAGTAAATGATGCTACAACTATAGCTAGTAACACTATCACTGCATCTTTCCGTTGTCAAAACAATACTTAGCAATGCCCAGTTATTTACATATACCAGCAGCCATTCCCTTGGCTTTAACCCAGTTAAAAAACAAAGGTTATGTCCCTGATTATCTCAAGGACCTCAGACTCTCTGGCTTCCTTGGAGGCAGAACTACAGGCCTCCTCACTTGACCCCTCCGACCCTGTGTTTGTAGTTTTCATTCATCACCCCATCCCCTCTACCCCCTCCTCTCCATCCACCCCAATTCAACACTCACCCCTACACCTTCCTTCTCCCTACCCCTCGCCCTGCTCTGTCTAGGCCTCTTGATGGAGATTGATTGATCAGCTCAGCAATCGTTGATTGCCGCTTATTTTGGAAGCTGTTGCCGGGTGCAATGGGGCCGTGACAGAAGCTGTCAGCCAGCCTGATTAGAGGGGGTCAGTGGTAAAAGATGGTGGATAGGCTGTTATATTAGAAAGAAAATACAGAAAGACTGCTTACCTTTACAGACTCCTGTGTAAAAGTCTCTGAAAAGGGGCAATTTTTCTCATAGATGTTGTTTGGAAATAACGTCCATGCTAGTACTTTTACAATTACAAAGTAATGACGTATTTTCCCCCAGTGTGTTGGTAGCTTTGACTCTGATACATTATCCTTGCTTTACTATACTTTATACTACTTCTGTCGTGTACAGTAAAACCCTAACACCCTATTATCAAGTTGTCTCACACACATCAGTAGAAGCATTTACCTTGTACATAGCTACATAGAAATGTACGTACACTGAACAAAGATATAAACGCAACATGTAAAGTGTTGGTCCCATGTTTCATGAGCTGAAGTAAAAAAATCACAGACATTTTACATACGCTCATAAAGCTTATTTATCTCAGATTTTGTGCAGAACTTTGTTTACATCCCTGTTAGTTAGCAATTCTCCTTTGCCAAGATAATCCATCCAATCCACCTGACAGGTGTGGCATGTCAAGAAGCTTATTAAACAGGGTGATCATTACACAGGTGCACCTTGTGCTGGGGACAATAAAAGGCCACTTTAAAATGTGCACTTCACACAGTATCAAGCCTAGACCTAGCCTGGCAACACCACCACAGAGGAACTGTGGATTACTGAGTCAGTCTCCACAGCGCTGTCGTGTTCTGAGGAGGAAAAAGGTTGTCTCCCTGCCAGCCCAGAGGTGTTGAAAAGGGGGGATTGCAGGGGAAGGAAGTGTGTCCTGACGGCCTGAGTGGATGTTTATCTGCCTCAGAGGGGGGAGGGAGGGTGCAGAGTGGCCACAGCAGCTTTACTTACCCTTCTTCCTTTGTCCTCTCTGCCTTCCTTCTCAATTATTCTTTTTTCTTTTTTCCCCTATTCCCCTTAAATAACTATCCCTTTCATCTCTGAAAGATTTCTTGGCGGGCTGTCAATAAGTTCTCAGTGGTTTGTTCATTGTTGTTTAGGTGTGTTCCTGTCAGAAATGAGAGGTGAGGCTAGCTTGTAGCTATCTAGATAGTGTTATTAGGTGTTTATTATTAGTGTTGTATTGATATTAATTAATAGTTATAGCCTACTGTATAACTAGGGTCCAAAGTTTTCCCTCGTACAGAACACTACCTATAATGAATCACTGGACAGGAGAACCAACTTCCCTCTCTCTCTTTCAGGGTCCAGAGTTACTGAGTAAATATGTAGGGGAGTCTGAGAGAGCTGTCAGAGAGGTGAGTACCAGGCCAACTTTCATTGTCTATCATATACCCAATACACTATGAATATATGGACTACTTACATTTAATGGAAATTGCTTTAATATTCTACAACAGGGGTGTCAAACTCATTCCACGGAGGGCCAAGTGTCCACAGGTTTTGGGTTTTTCCTTTCCTTTCAATTACATTTACATCATTTAGCAGACACTCTTATCCAGAGCGACTTACAAATTGGTGCATTCAACTTCTGATAGCCAGTGGGACAACCACTTTTTATTTTTTATTTTTTTATGGTGGGGTGGGGAAGGGAGGGGTAGAAGGATTACTTGTATACTATTCCAGGTATTCCTTAAAGAGGTAGACAACCAGGTGAGGGGAGTTCCTTACTAATTAGTGACCTTAATTAATATATCAAGTGTAAGGGTGGAGCGAAAACCTGCAGACACTCGGCCCTCCGTGGAATGAGTTTGACACGTGTTCTACAGTATAATGTATATGCAGAATCGGGGTCTACTGTATATTAATGCCTCTCTCTCTATATATATATATATATATATATTGGCATATTTCAATACCAGGTGTTTAGAAAGGCCAGAGCTGTCGCCCCCTCCATTGTGTTCTTCGATGAGATTGACGCTCTTGCTGGAGAAAGAGGAAGGTAGGTATTTCTTCTCAGAAATGAGACCAATGACTCTTTGAATGACTGACAGTCTATAGTACCACAAATGTCCAAAAGTCTGTACAATAATTACACTGATAAAGCCGGCTGTGGAGTTCCCATGGAGGCAGTTCACTAGCGCGCGCACACGTATGCACGCACACACTGACACACAGAAGAACCAGTCTGTCCGGAGGCGCTTCAATGGGATGGCAATGGGAACATCTGTGGCTTCAGGAAGAAGAAAAAATGGACAGAGAGAGGACACAGGCCGCGGCACACAAGCACTTCATTGTGCACACCACAGCAGATGGGGGAAGCCAAATATGAGGCGTACTTCCCGGTAAACCCCCACTGAAAGTCAATGGTGAAGGAACAGACAAAAGAGCCCTCCAGATATGATTCAAACATGGCCTTCCCTCAAGCCTAATTGGACAGAGCCTGAGAGGGGTCACAGTGTCCATTCTTTCCAAAACCATTTTGCCATTTAGTAAATGGAGGGTGACATTTTGTGTCTGCTGAAGTACGTACTCGTAATACTTGAAGCGTGATTTAGCTCCAAACTTCTCTTATGATGTCCATGAGATCACAAAACTAAACATTGCATATAACTCATACATGCGATTCAACTGCGACCTGCAGTGTCATATGGCCCAAGGGTACAGGCTACGTATCAGAGCTGGGGCGGTCAACTTAAGTCAACTCAGGAATGGACTGGATATGGTATTCGACCTGACAAAATGCCCCACTTACACTAGAGATTTACTAATTTTAGATCCATGTCCGATTTCACTGAATTGACTGGATTTTAAGCAATTCTTTGATACCTGCCTTTCAAAATGACTTGATGCAGGGGAGTCTGTCAGAATGAGTTCTCTGATAGTGAGAGAGACACAGAGACAGAGAGAGAGTAGAGAGTCTGAGACAGAGAAAAGAAGCAAGAGAGGCCAAGAGACCGTTGGAGACAGACGGATAAAGAGAAAGTGGAGAGAGGAAAAAGAAGGGAGGCATTGGGTCCATAGAGAAAGCACGAGAGCGAGAGAATGAAAGAGCAAGAGAACGGGCCTTGGAAGAAAGGTAGAAGCAGCATGGCAGATTTCTCTCTTTTATCTCTTCATCCCAGGGTCATAACTCAGTGACAGGTCTCCTTTTGTGTTCCTCTGAGGCCTTGTCTGTGGTGATGACGTGTGGCACTTCCGCTGGCCCTGTGAACAGAGAATGAGAGAGGGCGAGAGAGAGAGTGTGTGTGTGTGTTTGCGTGCGTGGTGTGTATGTGTGCGTGTGCAAATGAGTGTGTGTCTGACAGAGGTGGGGAGCAGAAGCAGGAGGGAAAGACACTACACACTGCTATGGAAAATAAACACCTTAGTATTTCTCAGTGCAGGGGGCTGGGATATGACAACTTGAACAGATACATTTTTGGTTCAAACACATTTCATATCTCTCCTCCCCCTATCACCCCCCCCCCTCCCCCTCCTCTTTCTCCCCGCTCTCAGCTCCTCGGGGTCTGGTGGCGTAGGGGACCGGGTCCTGGCCCAGCTCCTGACAGAGATGGACGGCATTGAGCAGCTCAGGGACGTCACCGTGCTGGCCGCCACCAACCGGCCCGACATGATAGATAAGGTAGAACCAGCAGAGTTCCTGCTTTCTCGCTCTCGCTCTCTTTCTCTTTCTCTTTCTTTCTGCTTCCCATCCTCCTTATCCTCCATCTATCTCCTAATGAAACTTCCTGAGTGCTGATTAAAGACAGAGCCTGGGCCCTGTCAAAACACACCCAGGAAAAAAGGGCCTGGCTCTACACAGGCACTAAAGGTTTTACAGCTCTCTCTTACTCATTCTCGCTCTCTGTAGCCTTCCCTCATCTCCCTGTTTTCCGTCTTCCTCTCTCCCCCGTTTACGTATGAACTTACTCTGCTTTCTGAAATGTAATCGTCTCTATGCTCTTATTGGAATGTGATTAGGAGGGGACAAACTTTCAACTGAGGTAAGTCAAAATAACTGAAGATATCCTTTAGTCCAGTGCCTCCTACTCCCACTTTGCCAGGTGGCTGTTGAGCCCCCATGGTGGGAGAAACCCTCACAGTGCTTCCTTATAGACAGCTGAACAGCTGGAAGCCTCCTCCAGGGCCACTGTTGGAGAATTGACACATCCCTGGCCTGCCTAGCAACTGAAGACCATTTCCTTCCTTCCTCCACCCCAGCTACTGCCTGGCCTGCCACTCCAAGCTTGGTTAGCAGTTGGGGTCCGAGCCCCTGGGAGGGGGGCATGAGAAACCCCAGGCAGCCCCACCAAACCAACCCTGCTGCTGCTGTCAGGAAGCAGGGGTCCCAGACAGCTGAGAAATCAGATTAGCCTGCCCCCCTACCGAGGGGGTGGTGGTAGTAGGGGGGTGGTGCTATTTGAATGCGAAACACATTAGCCGTGATGGGAAAGGCAAGCCGCCAAATAGGGTGTTACTTTCTAGGGTCCATCCTCCATTGGTCTGGTACCCTACTTCCACATCCCCACCACCCACTGTTGCACACCCCCACCCACCACCACCACCCCAAACTGTCAACATGCAGGAGAAGGCAGCCATTTCCATGAGAATGGCAGGATATGATGAGACAAATGAAGATTAATGGGATGTTTGGGTGTCAATGAGGCACATTGTCGGCAGATTGATGGAGCACAGGGACTTCTTGCTTTGATGGACCGACCGACCGAGTGTGTGAGTGTGTGTGTGTGTGTGTGTGTGTGTGTGTGTGAGAGAGAGAGAGAGAGAGAGAGAGAAGGACATGGAAAGACAGGGAGTATGCATGTACTTATGGCATAGTTTGGGTGGGTCTGCTTTTGGTCTCTCAGCCACTAACAGAGTCAAGTGTCTATTTCCTACTTATCTACCTCCTTAGGCCAGCTTTTAGAACTGGCTCCACTGTGGAAAGGGAGCAAAACATTTTACCAATAAAATGCATGAGGTCTTTCTCTCACAAATAATTCCATCAAATACAGCTTAGACTCTTTACACAACCTGTTTGTATTAAACTACTATTACTTTCTCACCGGAAAATATTCATACAAAATTCCCACAAATCCATAGGCCTTTGTATTGCACCAATCGTCCCGTCCCACCATTGACGCATTTTGAGTCTCCTGTGACGATTGATGAGTGGCACTATTATATTTACCCAGCCTGCTTTGGGGAAGAGCCCCCTAGCCTTGTGTCACTCTGTTTTTGTAGCAGCTGTCCATCGACAACAGCCCCCCCACACACACACACTTTTTCCTTGAGGAAGGATCATGTTGGTTTGTTGTTCTACTGAATAGCCTATTTATTTAACATAATATGTGTCGAGCTCCCACCCTTCTATCAGGAGGTGGGAATGTTACAGTATATGTGATTACTGCCAGATGGTGTTTGTTTGTTACCAGCTGGGCTCTTATCAGATCTGTGGAAAACAGATGTGTGGTGTGGCATGCTTCTTTTTAAATCCCCCCCCCCCCCCCCCCCCCCCCCCCCCTCCACTCAACACAGGGCTTGTGTAGTTTATTTTGTGAACAGGAGATGGCGCCAAATCAGATACTGTTCAGCCATAAACAATTATGTCTAGGTATTAGTCTTGTAGACTTTTGCTTTACGTATTTTATTGTAAACATGTTAATGTTTTGCTGGTTCCATTGGCTATTAGGTTGTTCTACACAATGACATTTAGCATTCTACTATGGCAAGAGTGAAGGCTAAGGCCTATGCGTTCACAAATAAAGGCACACATGCAGGAGATTGCAAAGTTATTCTAGAGGTTGCAACCCCAGCACATACTACCCTCAGACACGTTTAGTTATCTCTGAACACTGCACTTTTACACAGTCTACATGTCACCATTGGTAATTGGTATGCCTCCCTAGTGTATCTTCAAAGAGTCCTTTTCAGCGTTTTAATCTGTGGCCTAATACTTGCAGCTTCCCAAAGAGCCGTGTTTAAACCTCCAAAATGGACCAAACTTCCTCCCCCCAGTAATTTACAATTTTCCACACAAGATTGCAAAGTTACAGAATCTGACCCCCCTCACCTTTTCTTCTCAGAACTTTGTTAATAACCGTAGGGTGGAAAAAAGGTTTCTAACTAATTGCATACCTCCTAGTATCTTTAAGGGGGGAGGAAAAAACATAAATAAAAACTAAGATTGATCTAACTTTAAAACTCCACCACCACATCACAATGTTAGTCATGCCTTGTGTTTGCATATGCTTTAGATGAACTGGACTTGAGCTGTTGATGTATATGCAAACAAACACACAACTGCAGAAAATGAGATCACTGAACATCTGTCAGTATTTTTCAAGCCAATGGTTAACGTTGGACATTTCTAATCGTAATCACTGTCTAATTGCCCTAGACTGTAATTTGTGGGCCAGTTTGTAAATATCTGAATACTAGCTTTATTTATAGCATCAGGTTCCCAAGCCTATAAAAAGCCCTTAGCCAAAATGTGCCTTGACCTTTTTATAAAGTTTATTGTAGTCTTTGGTGTATCTATGAAATGTATTGTATCACAGAGTTGCCTGCTGACGTCAATGGTGTTTTGCCTAGTAAACCTACCACACAGCCAATCACCATTCAACAGATGGCATTCCCAGACATCCATCATAGACTTTGCTTTTAAGTGCCATTGTTTTGGGCGACAGCAGTGCATTTAGTCTTTGAAACAAGAACAGTCTGTGAAAATGTGTCTTCAACTCTTCATTGACCTTTGACCAAACATTCTCATGTTTTATAAATATTTCTCCTTTGGCTCTTCACCGCATAATGGGGAAATATAAACTATACCCACCTAGCAGACACTGGTCATGGGCTACTCTCACAGTTTGAATGATGCACTCCTCCTGTGTTGCCACTCATCCAACAGAAGCCTACCTGGGCCCAACCTTGACCTGGCAGGAAATGAATCTTCACTAAAAGAGCGTGGTAATAAGTCCTCCAGTCAAAACAGGCCATCATTTATTTTGTTTTGGTTATCATCTCCGAGCTTTGCCTCTTTTCTCTCCGTTTCTCTTTCTCTTTCTTGTTCTATCTCTCTTTCTCTGCCTCACTGCCTCTATCTCACTCTCTCTCTGTCTCTCGCTCAAGGTGAGCCAACCATGATGGAATTTCTATTTGTGCTGTCTTAAAGGATTAGAGTTCATTCACTGTTTTCCTGACTGTACACTTCTCAATAGGGTGGTGCTGCATAGCACAGGATGTCTCTCTGAAAGCTTGGCTGTCAAATCAAATCAAATTGTATTACAACAGGTGTAGACCTTACAGTGAAATGCTTACTTACAAACCCTTAACCAATGTGGACACCAAGGAACTTGAAGCTGACAACCTGCTCCACTACAGCCCCGTCGATGAGAATGGCGGCGTGCTCGGTCCTCTTTTTCCTGTATTCCACAATCATCTCCTTTGTCTTGATCATGTTGAGGGAGAGGTTGTTATCCTGGCACCACACGACCAGGTCTCTGACCTCCTCCCTATAGGCTGTCTTGTCGGTGATCAGGCCTACCGCTGTTGTGTCGTCTGCTAACTTAATGATGGTGTTGGAGTCGTGCCTGGCCATGCAGTCATGGGTGAACAGGGAGTACAGGAGGGGACTGAGCCCGCACCCCTGAGGGGCCCGCATGTTGAGGATCAGCGTGGCAGATGTGTTGTTACCTACCCTTACCACCTGGGGGTGGCCCTTCAGGAAGTCCAGGATCCAGTTGCAGAGGGAGGTGTTTAGTCCCAGGGTTTGTTATCTCAAGGTATTAGTATCTCTGTTTACTGGTAAATGATACAGCAGTTTACCCCAGTTCTCACTCCTTCGCCTCCTTTCGCCCGTCGAAATCAGTTACGTTAAAAGACACCAGCTACAGATGTACTCTGAGAAACCAAGATGGTTTTTGTTTGACTCAGTGGCAAACTAAAACAAATGGGAGATTTTGCGTGTGTGTGTGTGCCAAGGCAACGGGATACCAGCAGGGGAGGGATGAGCTCTGGGAGGGGATGGGTGTGTGTGTCTATGTGTGTGGGAGGGGGGGTTATGATCCCCAGGCAAGTATCAAACTTCAAGGGCTGTATTAGTGTCAGATTACACAGTGTGCATCTTAGAATACCATCAAGCAAATCATCAGAACCCGAGCAAATCAGTGTATTTCCACTGCAATAGAGCTGACAAAATCAGTCAAGCGCCCCCCTCAGGATACCAAAAACTCTGATCACGCCATGCACAAAATTACACTGGTTTAAATTAATAATTATGAGGACAGTTAATTGTGATTGATCACATTTTTTGCTCCTTTTCATGCGCTGGCTGTGTATTAAACATAGTCCTGGTCGTTGCATGCTTCCTTTCAACTTGAAAGGCCGTTGACAATGTGTTCTCCACATTGGGATTAGCAGAGCATGCATAGATAATACAAAATACTAAATGACGATGAACCAATACCCACATTTTACTTCCACCGGCTGCTCCTCTGTTTTGGTGAGTGAGAGAGAGGGAGGGTGAGAGAAAAGAGGCAGGAAATGAGGGCTCTTTGTGCACTGATACCTGGCAGACATCTCCAGCGTGTGTCGTCTTGCCTCTTGGCGAGCAGAGACCACCAGGTCCTCGGAATGTTTTCAGTTCAGGAAATCTCGTTTATTCTCATAAATGCTGTGCCTAAACCCCTCCACAATCCCACTGGAGAGCTTCTCTTCTCGTCCCCTCTCTCTCATTGGAGCTTTGTTGTGCCTCTAGAACTAGGAATGGCGTCCCTGGTAATATTAACGGCTTTTTCGAGTTGAACGACAAGTACAGTGGGGAGAACAATTTCATACACTGCCGATTTTGCAGGTTTTCCTACTTACAAAGCATGTAGAGGTCTGTAATTTTTATCATAGGTACACTTCAACTGTGAGAGACGGAATCTAAAACAAAAATCCAGAAAATCACATTGTATGATTTTTAAGTAATTCATTTTCATTTTATTGCATGACATAAGTATTTGATCACCTACCAACCAGTAAGAATTCCGTCTCTCACAGACCTGTTAGTTTTTCTTTAAGAAGCCCTTCTGTTCTCCACTCATTACCTGTATTAACTGCACCTGTTTGAACTCGTTACCTGTATAAAAGACACCTGTCCACACACTCAATCAAACAGACTCTAACCTCTCCACAATGGCCAAGACCAGAGAGCTGTGTAAGGACATCAGGGATAAAATTGTAGACCTGCAGAAGGCTGGGATGGGCTACAGGACAATAGGTAAGCAGCTTGGTGAGAAGGCAATAACTGGTTGGCGCAATTATTAGAAAATGGAAGAAGTTCAAGATGACGGTCAATCACCCTCGGTCTGGGGCTCCATGCAAGATCTCA